GAGGAGAATGCCAATGAATATCAATACGTAGGTGAACAAGTGGGGGAGGGGAAGGAGGAGGGGGAGGAGGCGGAGGCGGAGGAGGAGAAGAAGAGGAGGAGGAGGAGGAGGAAGAGGAGAAGGAGGAGGAGAAGAGGAGGAGGACGAGAAGGCAGGAGTGGTAGGGACACGGGAAGAGAAAGGAGGGAGGTTGGACTTGTCCGATCTTGGAGAAATGACCAGAGTTGCCCGTTTGGCAGCTCCCAGGGAGGGCGAGGTGTAGTCGGGTCTGCGCGGCGGGACAGTCAGCTGGATACCGCGGGGTCGCAGGAAAGTGGCGATTGTTGTGCGCCTGGTAACACCAATCGACGGCGAGGGCAGAGGAGAGGGAGGAGAATCCCTGCGCTTGAAAGGCTTCTCGGGCTGGCGTCGGTCACGTATATTTGCTGTGTCGGGCGCCGTCTGCTTACAGCAGCTTGTCTGCGTCTCGGAATGCGCGTCGCGTCACATGTCCTCGTCACCAGGTGGACAACGCTGATCCTGTGGAGCTCGTCGGGCGCAGACCAGACTAGGAGGAGAGGAGTATAATTAGGAGATGCAGCATCAGGAAGATGTGGCGGAGGACGAACAGTAGCAACCGCAGCAACACCTGAAACCAAAGCAGGGGTAGGTTGTGGACCCCTCGAGGTAGATTTGCTTTGGCTGCCGTACAAGATGTTCACGAAGCAGGTGTGGACGTCCGTATCAAGTTTCCTCAGCAAGGCTTGTGGAGGAGAGGATGAGAAGCACTGTGCGCGCTGGTACGTGCTCACCTTTTCTGCCGATGAATGCCTGCCTGTGTGCTTGCATGATTGCGTTTTCCTGTGATTGCGTACGCCATGGATACACAGGTGCAGATTCGCACGCATGCACATACGCGTCAGAACGCAAAGCAGGGAATGTCTTCTCAAGGTGCATCGCCAGCCATACACACGTGCACGCACATGCAAAAGCGCACGCACGATGTGCACGATGCATCACTTTGCGAATGCGCATGTTCAAACACCAGTGACTGCGGGATAAAGTCGTGCGATCGAGCTTGGAGACACAAAACAGGTCAAGATGGCACTGCAATGCTCCATAAATTGCACCAACCGTTTCACGTGTCTGCCCGTTCCGTCTCCCCTACCCCTCCCTCTCTCCCTCCTCCCTCTCTCCTCGCATGGTCTTGTGTATACGCTCGATGCAGTTTTCGGAACCTGCCACGTGTTCGTGTGGAAGTAGCGTTGACGAATACACAGGAGACGATGTGCTCTTCGCACCAGGAAGAAGGGGCTGGGAAGATCGGAGGGGGGAAGGTGATTCAGATGGTGATGATGACGATGATGGTGAGCAGTTTGGAACGTCCTGTTGGGCCATTGGGGAGCTTCTGTGCAGTCCCTAGGGACCCCAGGCGGCGCCCCCGTGCAACTCAAGAGCTTATGAGGGGATCCTTGGACACTTCCGAGAGGGGTCCTGAGGGGCCTGCTTTGGAGGGCTCCTGGGATGCGCTTGCCATTACGGGATGGGTCTTGGGGGGGGGGTCTCCTCGGACGGCTCTTGGGGGGCCCCGGAGGTCCCCTGGCGGTTCTGAGAGGATTCCAGGCGGCTCCCCCGGCGGACTCCTCAGGAGTCCGCTGGGGGACCCTGGTGGTCCGGTGGACCACCAAGGACTTTGGTGGTCCACCGGAGGGTTCTGAGCTTTCAGGCCCTCCGGGGGCCCTTTCTGGGCTGTCTTGGAGAGGATCTGCGTCCTCCCCTCGGGCCCTGTGCACGGCCTCCTGGAACGCCGCAACAATTACACATTATGAATACTACTCTCCTCTCCTCTCTCCCCTGACCCTGTCCAGAAGACGCCCTGCCTTCTCGTGTTTGTTTTTACTATCCGATCGTTTGCGGTCCTGCAAAATTGTGTTCCAGCTGCAGCGCTGGCCTCAGTCCCGCGCTTCTGGTCCTTCGTGCTCCCGCTGCAGCGAATGGTGCTCCTGCTGCGTTGGTTTTCTTTCTGCGTTTACTGTCCTTCCGAATGGCGTTCCCGCTGCAATGCTGGCGTCATTTTCGCTTGGTCCTTCCGAATGGTGCTCCCGTTGCAGCGCTGCTCACATTTCCGCGTTTTCGGCCTTTCAACATGGCGCTCCCGCTGTAGCGTTGGCCTTATGTCCGAGTTATCGGTTCTTTCAAATGGCGCTCTGGCTGCAGCACCGCCCTCTTCTCCAAATCGCCGGTCCTTCACCATGGATTTCTGGCTGCACCGCTCATGCAGCCAGGGTCTGCAATCCAATGTCGCTCGTCTGCGGTACATGCCTTGCTCTGCAATGTTGTGATATACAACGCTTAGCTACGCAATGCCATGCCATGCCATGCAATGGCAGGCCATGCAATGCTATGTTAATCACCGCGATGCGATGCTGTTCCTTGCGCTGCAATGCTATGACATGCAATGCTTGACTACGCAATGCTATGCCACGCTATGCATCGCGCACCCTTTGGGGGTCGCTGTTATATTCGACATCCGACCGTGCGAATACAGAGGGAGAGGCACTCTTGTGCAATGCTAAGGGATGGCAGGGCGGGGTAGGACGTCAGATATGACGCGAGCGCACCTGGCTTGCCCTCCCCCCCTCTCGGCCACCCCATGCTCTTCCCCGCTGGCGCTGCGTGCCCCGAGAGGCCCAGACGAAGAGCACCGTCCCCGGGCATCCCCCCACCATCCCTTCCAGGAGAGGGATGGCGAGGAGGACGGAGGCGAGAAGGAAGAGGAGGAGGAGGAGGAGGAGGAAGAGGAAGAGGAAGGAGGAGGAGGAGGAGGAGGAGGAGGAGGAGGAGGAGGAGAGGAGGAGGAGGAGGAGATGAGGAGGGGGAGGGAGGGAGGAGGAGGAGGAGGAGGAGGAGGAGGAGGAGGAGGAGGAGGAGGAGGAGGAAGGGGCGGAGGAGGGGGCGGAGGAGGGGGCGAAGGGCGGAGGTGGAGGTGCAGGAGTGGGAGGGGGAGGGGGGGGGTGTTGGTTGGGCGAGCGGCGGGAGCTTGGTCTGGCAAGGGCGCCACTGCGGTCGCGGGACCCCTGCAGTGCAGCCTCTCGGGCAGCGCCATCGGCGTAACCGCCGGGCCCGCCAACACGAGCCTCGGCACAGCAGCGCTGCTGCACGCATACACATTGTTCATTTCTCATTATTCGAAAGCTCTTTGATTTTTTTTGGGGGCAAGATCCTTTCATTTCCAATTGTTCTATCCTGGGCCTCTTCCTGGCCACTAGGGGGCCAGGAACAATTATAGAAACGAGCGCGGTTAGAAATGAGCACGATTAGAAATGAACGACGTGAACCTTCCAGAGCGGGAGTGAGCTCGTGCTCGGGAAAAAAACCGCGCCACGCTTTGGCGGGAGGCTTCGTCGGAGGCGGGACAGCACAGCGCCACCTGCCCTGCCAGACGTCCGCCTGGCAGGCACGCTTCGGCAAGGAACTGGGAGCTGCTCGCCGTGAGTATCCCGCAGGCTCGGCAGCACAGCACGCCACGAACGACACCCAGATCGTGCGAGGAGTGGGCACGAGGGACCCCAGGATGTGCGGTGACCACTTCGCGCCTCTCCGAAGACCTTACGACTCGCGCCCCCATGCAACGGCCAGGGAAAACCTCGGGAAGCTTACCACGGGTCGCCTCAAAGTGGCGCCTGCAGGGGGAAGCCCTCAGATTTGTGGCGAACCACTTCAACAGCATGGCCAACAGCCTCAAGCCCCTGCCTTCTCGTGATATGGCACGGCAGGGGCCCAGGGCGAGGAGCTGGTCTCCCCACCCTATCAGAAGCAAGCTCCTTACACGTGAGGGCAACTTCCCGATTCACCTCGAGGAGAGGAGCCTACGGATGACTTCCTCCGTCATACCATCAACCTCTTTAAGCACATCTACTCGCTCTTGAGGGATCTCAGCTATGGCGGAAGCCTTCCTAGCAACATGTTCAGCACATACGTGTTGGGGAAACTCAGGCTCAGAGATGCCCCATAGGTCACGTGTCGAGGCCGGCGAATGGGCCTTGGTCCAGAGCAGTGCCAGGTGCACTTCACGCGAATCCAAGAGGTTCCAGATCCTGATCCAGAGGTCCAGCATGGTGGAGGCCTGGGCGGCGAACGAGCGGTCCCTCCTGAGACCCCGAACTCAGGGAGGGTAATCAGAATAAGCAACCACATCACCGCACGTAAACGTCAACATCATACAAAGCGCAAAAAGCTCTGACATGGGGCTGTGCTGGGCGTCCGTCGACAGGGATCCGAACAGGATGGCATCACACGCGAGGTCGCTATCGACCGATGCCTCATCCAAACGAACCACCGCCCATCCACACCTCCTGAGTCTCCAGTCCTTGGCCCATGTGCCCCCAGAGCCATCAAGGCCGTACCTGCCCCACCTTAACATTGCCTCCCCTCCGAACAGACCCCAAGCTTGTTTGACCCCGCGAAGAGCTGCTAGATAGGTAACTGCACCAGGCAGGGAGGGCAGACCACGATTCCAGAACACGCTTCTCCCATGCTTCGGATGACCAGCCATCTCCAAGAAGGCCTGAGAGCTAAGCGTGTGCGGGAAGTCGATATGTTGGTTGGCCATACACGGCCATGCTCGATGTAAACAGGTCTCGAGCAGCTCCACACTTGGGGCAGATACCGTTAGTGAGGTACCCAGCGTTTTGCAGTCTGACCTCAGGCCACGTACCTCCTGAAACAACGCACGCAAGCAGGGCAGCATCTGCATGGCTAGAATCCTTGACCACTGAGGCGTGCAACGCCCGAAACAACGTGAAACCAGCTCCACCCTGCAATCCATCACCACAGAAATGCTGGGCCGCCTTGCTCGAAAGCATCTTAGAAACAGTCTGCCACACGGCAGCGTCAAGGCGAAAGGGGAGATCCTTCTCCTGCAGAGCCCGAGCACCGAAGGGGGTCCCCCAGGACGTCGGGGAAGACGGAGCCCACTCGAGGTCCAGCGGGGTGCACACCGCGGCCGCCAGCGGCCCAGACACCGTACGCCGCCTGCACGTGGCCGCCAAGGCCGTCAAGCGATCACGATGCCGAGCCCAGGCTCGTCGCACCCCCAAGCGCTGCCACGCGGTGGGAAACTTCCAGATGCCAGACGGCGCAGGCAGCTGCTCCCTGCGCAGCCGATGAGCAGAGTCGTCGCTAAACGGTGAGCACATAGCGGCCTGCGATCGGAAGCTCTGCAGATCAGCGAGCGTGAGCCCTAGCACCAGGTGCCCCTACGATCCAACACTTAGAATTCCAGGTTTAAGATCTTGCGAGATCGATCGCACTTGTAAGCCAGGCGACGGGCACGCTTGAAGGCCATCCTCTGGCGGAGCGGACGGGACCACCGAATCAAAGAAAGTCTCCATATCACAATGCAGGGAAATTGGCTCACAGCTTACAGGCCCAGCAACCTCGTGACATAATTCTCGAAGCATTGCCGCCTGCACGGCAGAAGACTTTTACACGGCAGCATTGTTTTAGAGGTATGTGTGCGCCACCGTCCATTTGTGAATATGGTCACCACGCATACGAGCATACATGCGATACGTGATAGAACTTGTAGCAGTTGCACGTTCATCATGCGCCGATTTCGGGAGAAGCGCCATCATATTCAACTTAACATTGTTGGGGACAAGCAAGTGCCTTCTCGCAGGCCGTGAACAACGCAGCCAGACATTGCACCACCTGCCCAGTCCACGCCCACCGCCGTGAAACGAGAGAAGCACGACGCCGTATGCAGAACACCCCTAGCTTGAAACTCTGGCACCTCGAGAAGGGAAAATTGGGCAATCTTCCGACGTTCGTTTAGCGTACCATGGACTCCACGACGTTCGTCCGAAGGGGTCCACCACTTAGACCACAACCCTTAACGATGTCCGATGAAAGGGGGTCCACCATTTAGGCCACTGCGGAGTTTAACCGATGCCGTCTGGCGTGCGAAAATATGATCGTTGAATCAAATCTCATTCTTAAGCCAGTTATGAATATGCCGAGCGCCTCCAGGAATGGAGTTGTTTCAACCATTTGCGAATGCCAGCACCGCTGGCAACACGCACTCTGACAACAACGTGCTGACATACCACAAGCCTGCGCACAGCATCGCAATCACAAAGCAGAGACACCAGCGTAACAGACCACTCATGCGCCTCAGCGCGACAATGACAAAATGTTCGGCTTGCCACCAAAGCTCGTCTGCTATGTTTCTGGCATGATAGGTAGAGAACGTCCCAGAGAGAGCCTCCCAATACCCGAACAGCTGGTGCACATCCAGGACCAGAAGCACACATCATGTACGTTGAAGGCCTGATTCTACGGCCCCCGCCGCCTGAGAGTCCCCGAGGAGCGCTGCAGAGGACCACCACGACTCAGAGCACGATCGTAATCCTCCAGAATACCACAGCCAAGGTACTTTGAAGGCTTGCTGCTGCGGCTCCCGCCGCCTGAGAGTCCCCGAGGAGCGCTGCAGAGGACCACCACGACCCAGAGCACGATTATAATCCTCCAGAATAGCACAGCCCCAGGGCACGAAGACCAATTCAGACGCCCGAGACGGGAGGGGGGGAAGGAGGAGGAGGAGGAGAAGGCGCAGGGAGAAAATGAGGAGGAGGAGGAGAAGAAGGAGAAGGGAGGAGGGAGAGGAAGCAGGACGCAGCAGAAGGAGGGGGCTGGACGGGGGAGGAGGAAGGGAGGAGCTCTTCTGTCCTCCTCGTTCCTCCTCCTCCTCCTCCTCCTCCTCCTCCTCCTCCTTCTCCATTCTTTTTCCTTATACCTAACTTTTCCCTGTCGCACCCCGAGGCCAGTTTTTAGGGCGGGCGGAGCGCTTCGCCTGAGACTTCCTCACCATTTATAGCTCTGAAGCTTAAAAAGTGACACCAGCTTCACAGATGGAGGGCGGGTGGTTTTCAAAATGCGGCTCTCGCCTTAGCACCGCCCACATTCGCTTTAAAAAATTGCTAGAGCTTCACGGAGTGAGGAGAAACCGTTTTCAACATGTGGCTCTCGCCTTAGCGCAGCGCACATTCGTTCTAAAAATCTTCAAGAGCTTCACGGATTGAGGGCGGCTCCTTTTCAAAATGTGGTTCTCGCCTATAGCGCCACGCACATTCGTTCATCCAATTTGCAATAGTTTCACGGATTCCCACGATCAACGTACTAGAAAGTGTGTTTTGGAAGGATTCAGGATTTTGCGGGCGCAACTGTTACGTCGATTCGCGGTGTTGAGATCCCAAGAATGGCGTTCCAGGATCGTCAAGACGCAACAGTCAGGTTGATCCGTGGCGTTGGAATCCCGATAACAATGTTTTGGAATGCTTCCGGGTCTTCAAACGGTTGTCTTCAAACGAGGCAGATCTTTCAATGGACATGAACCGCTGTAGGGGCCTATGAAGAGGGAGCTCGGAGGGAGGGTGTATTCCAACATCGTCGATGGCTCTTGAGTTTACCCTGGTCCTCCTCCTCCTCCTCCTCCTCCTCCTCCTCCTCCTCCTCCTCCTCCTCTCCTCCTCCCTCCTCCTCCCTCCCTCCCCTCCCTCCCTCCCTCCCTCCCTCCCTCCCTCCCTCCCTCCCTCCCTCCCCTTCCCCTCCCTCCCTCCTCCTTCCCCCTCCCTTCCCCCCCTCAACCTTCCCTCCATCCCCCCCCCCCCTTTTCCTGGCAAGGCGATTGAGCAGGGCACCGTCCGCGGCTACGGCGTGCACGCGGAGGCTCTGTTTGCTGCCCGCCGTGCCCCCGCCCGGCCTCCCGGCCTGTCCGCCCCCCGTGGCCTCCACGGTAGGAAGAGGGAGGGAGGAGGGAGGGAGGGACTGAGATGCTGCTGAGCGCATTCGGGCGCTAGGCGAGCAGCCCCCCGCCTCCGCTTGGTCCACCGTGACCGCCGCCAGCGCAATGACCACCACAAGCGGCCGCGACCACAACCACGGACCCAGACCACCGCGACCGCCACCAGCACGACAACCACTGCCGCCACCACCAACACCACGACGACGATTCTGAACACGACGACCCCCACAACCACCGACGCCACGACCACGACCAGCGCCAGCACGTTCACCACCGCGACCATCGCCGACCAGCACTTCGACCAAGACCACTGCCAGCACGATGGCGACATGACCACCACCAGTGCTGCTGTCACCACTGACCCGACCGCCCCCGCCCCCGGCCGCCCCTCTCCTTTCCTCTCCCTGCCCCCACCGGGCCGCCCTTGCTGCCGCACGCGCCTGGCGCTTCGCCTCCGCCTTCTTCCTCGCCCCTCCCTTACCTCCTCTGCATTTCTCCTTGCACAACTCAGTGAATTATTAGAAACTGCGCTTAGAGGCGGAAAGCCACTGGACCAGCTCTTCAAGAGCTGTGTCCGGTAGATGGCGTTTTTTGTGGCTAGGGACCGGGGACCATAACACCAACGCCTGGAGGTCCCCCTTGGTGAAGGGGGTGGGGACCCACTCGGGTGCTTCGGGGCTTTAGGGGGGAAGAAAGAGGGAGGAAGGAGGGATGAGGGACTACCAATGTGCTGGGAATGCCCCTCGGGGCTGCGACCGCCCCGCCGCGTGCGCCGCTGCACCGGAAGGAGGGGGAGGACGAAGAGGACAAGGAGAAGGGGGGGAAGAGAGAGAGAGAGAGAACGAGGGAAGACGAAGAGCAGGAGGAGGAGGAGGAGGAGAAGGAGGAAGAGTAGGTCCCATGCCCCGCTCCGTTCTCTCATGTTTCCATTGGCGGACAGACTGCTGTCACACCCCGCGCAGATTCGGATGCGGGCGGGAAGGGAAGCGCCAGCCTTCGGTCGCCTGAGCCGAGGGATGGCTGGCCGCGCGCGGAGCGAGGAGGAGGGAGCCAAGTAATGTGTCTGGGAGACAGGAAGTTGGTCCCCTGCCTCGTTCCGTGCTTTCCTTGTCTCCATTGGCGGACAGACTGCTGTCACACCAATGGGAAAACCAATGAAAAATGGAGAGAGCCGTGACCGGATATCCCTCGACGAGCGTGGTCTGCGTTAGGGCTCGTCCTCGGAGGCCTCGCAAAAGGCCTCGGCCAACGCCCGTGACTCGATCTTGGACGGCGGAATACGCCATGACGCGGCCGGCTTGGATGGCGAGGACATATCAATGGCTGCAACCATGATCCACGACTCTTCTGTCAGCGCCACCTCCGGCCACGTCGCTCCGCCTCGGCATGGGCCTCGACCCGTTGGAGGAGGCTGCGCGCGCGGTTCGCAGAAGCCGCGCGGGCAAAGGCGACGCCGCCGAGCCCGATCTCGCGGCGGCCGAGGAGGCGGCGAGGGCGACAACAGCGGGGGGAAAGGGCTGGGACCAGGTCATGACCCAGGCCACCTCAGACGCCGATAGGCCATGGCTCGTCGACACCGCGGCCCCTGCGAATATCGGCCTCGCGCAGCTCATGAACGACAACGCCCTCCGATCCTCTTCACGGGGGGCCCAGGCCGCGGGCGCGCGGGAGCTGCAGGCCGCGGCTGGCAGCTTGCGCGCAGAGATGCGCCACCGTCGGGCCTGGCGGGGAGGGCCCGGGTCCGCGCGCAGCACGTCGACGAGCACGCGAACGGCGGCGCCCCCAAGGACGAAGGAGCGCGCATGACGGCGCTCACGCAGTATGTCCAGCACGCCGCAGCGCGGGGCGGCCCTGGAGCTCCGCGGGCTGCCCATGACGGCGGCCCTCCGTGCGCGGGATGCCAGAATCCTACCGCGGGCGCGCGGGGCGACGCCACCCCCCCTCCTCATCGCCCGCCACGATTGAATGCCGCCCAGGACTGGTGAGCCAGCCGCCTTCTGGACATCGACACACCTACGCGGAGGATCCCCCTCTGGAAACTCAGCTCCCCGCGGCGGCCCCCCACTCAGACCCTCAGAGCAGCGGCGGAAATTGCGGCCAGGATCAAATCAATTTCGACGGGGCCCCAGCCCAGCCGAGCTGTTGCGCACTTTTCGCACGCGCGCCCTCCATCTTTGAAGTTGGCGCGCTGTCCCCCTACAGTTATCAGGAGCCCGCGCACGCGCCGGCCCAGGCGGGCAGGAAGCGGCGCATTCGCGCATACCTGACGGAAGGCGGTCGCCCCCCGGCTGGCGGAGGTTGACATGGGATGGCGCGGCCTTGAGGCGGCCGGCCACCCACCGCGGGGCGACGGCACGACGCTCCAGGCGGCGACCACAACAGCGAGCCCGTGGTCAGCCATCTGGGCGCGGGCACAGCTGCGCCTCCAGGGCCGCCCCACCACGCGCACGACCGCCTCCCGAGCTACGCGCGCGCGGTGCGGAGAGTCCATCTCCCGCGACGGGCCCCACGGGATGCCGCCATGAGGAGGCGTTCCGCGAATTCGCGCGCGGCGCGACGTGGGCGGAAGTTCCGCCAGCGGCCATCATCATTGGATTGCGCGCGGACTCACACGTCGAGACGGGAGTGGCAGTCGCCGCGAACTGGGTTCGGAAGGCCCACGCCGCGGCGACAGCCGGTCCAGACACGGCGTCAGCCGCGGCCGCTGGCGCCGCCCGGCCGCATCACCGCCACCCCCACCACCTGCGCCCCGCCGTCGCCGCCTCTGGGCGCCGCAGCCAGGCCGCTGGACGCAGCTGGCGGGCCGCAAAGGGCCTCTCTGGGCGCCCCCGCGCCGCGCCCCCAGAGCCGCCACCTGCGCCCCGCCGCCGGCTGGCCAGCACCTGCGCTGAGCCTGCGGGCTGCCCGGTGCCGCGCTGGCCTGGGGTCCCGAGGAAACGATCCTCCGTGAGCGTCCAATTCGGCGTCGAGGCAAAGTCGCGCCTTCGTCGGCAACCCATCGGCCCAGACTGAGTCGCTGGCAGAGCCACGGAGCCCGTTTAGAACTTCTTTTTGTCAAAAGTTCGCCTGCCTGCCGTCGAAGCCCCCGCGGCACCAGGCGCTGGCGAAAAAGGCAGGGGCGAGGGCGAGGAGCAGGAGGAGACCGAGGAGGGAAGAGGCGGCAGCAGCAGCGGGAGGGGCAGGTGCAAGGCAGGGGGGGCTGGAGGAGAGGGGGAGGCAATTGGAGGAGAAAAGGAAATTATGGCGCAGAGACAAGAGAAGGAGTTGGAGCTGAAGAAGGAGAGGGAGAAGAGGGAGAGGAGGAAGAAGAGGAGAAGGAGGAGGAGGAGGAGGAGCAGGCAGCGGAGGAGGAGGAGGAGGAGGAGGAGGCAGAGGAGGAGGAGGAGGAGGAGGAGGAGGAGGACGACGACGACGACGACGACGACGACGACGACGACGACGACGACGACGATGAGGGTGCTAGCGACGACAACGACGACGACGACGACGACGACGACGACGACGACGACGACGACGACGACGACGAGGGCACCTGCGATGGCGACGAGGACGAGGGCGAGCACGATTACGGGGACGATTCCGAGGACGAGGAAGAGGAGGACGAGGAGCAGGAGGACGAGGAGGAGGAGGAGAAGGAGGAGGAGGAGGAAGAGGAGGAGGAAAAAGACAGCAGCAGCAGCAGCGTGGGATGGACTGGTGAGTGCCTTGGGGAAGTCGGAGGAGGGGAAATAGAAGGAGAGGGTGTTGTCGAGGAGGAGAGAGCAGTATCCTGGCCAGTGGGCAGGGGGTGCGAGAAGGGGAGGGCGGGGCCCGCAAGCGGCACAGCCTTCTGCAGGCCCGCACCAAAGTCCTGGCGCGGAAGCTGCTGGACAGGCGGCCCGCGCCCGCGGCGTGGCTGGCGCCTCATAGCCTGCCGCGGCCGCTGGAGCCGGAGGCGGCGCTGGGGGGGGGGCGGGTCTGCGAAGGGAGATCCGCATCGAGCAGTTTGGCCCTCTGCGTGCTTGGGCGTGGCGCCCCTGCGGCTCCCCGAAGGCCGCGCCACAGGCCACACTTGCTTGCTCTGCGTTTGGTCATATGCGGGGGGGGGGGGGGGGCCATCCCCCCGCCGACAGCACCTGAATCGACCCCCGTCGCGGGCCAAAAATTGTTTCGGGACGTCGACCCCTGTCGGCCAACGCCACCCGCCGCAAAAACCGGACCCCGGGCCCACTGGCGCGGAAAGGGTGAGGTTGACTCCCGTCGGAGGGGGAGCCCCCCACGCTTACTGCCAAACGCAAAGTGGGGTCACGCTTGCGTGTGGCCGGATGAAGGAGAGGGGCTTTGGAGGAGAAGGGCCCCCGAAGGTTCCTCTCCCTTTCGTCGGACCCCCCAGGCCCTCCAGTCCCGCAGAGCACCTGAATGGAAATCTGGTTCCCTCGGCGGCGCGCCCCGGGGGGGGGGAAGTCGGAAGGGGCAGGCCTCCCGCGAAGGCGACGCAACTTCTCAGAAGCCCCCGGGCCGTCCGAGAAGCCGCCTGCGTCTTCGGCGAAGGCTTCGTAAATGTCCCCCCGAAGGCTGGAGGCCTCCAGGCCTCCGAGAAGGCCCGCCCCCTCTGCCTTCCCCCCCCCCTTGGGGCTCGCCGCCGATCCCGGGGAAGCCCCCAGGGCCCAGGACCGGGTTCCTCTGGGACCTCGTCCCTTCTTCGCGCGACCGAGAGCCAGCACGGGCACGGGTGCTTGAAGCTCCGCGCGGATGGACAGGGGACGATGTTGGATCTTGAAGTACCACACATGGCAAGGCAGCTCAGTCCGCAGAGGGCATGGGAGTAGGGTTGACATGGCACCAGACCTTTCCCCCCCCCCCCCAAAAAAAAAAAACGCACAAGACCCCAGGGATGAAACCTCCCCAATTGATGGGGGTCGGCGCTGGAGCTTCCCTCCCCGCGCCACTGGGCGGCGCCTTCCAGGGCACCACCCCCAGCGCGCCCCGCGCAGTGGGGAACGGGTGGTGGGGAGGAGGACCCAGCGCCGACCGAAGGAGTCCGAGCGGACCTCCAGCATGTCATGTTCACGCAGGTCGTTAGTGGTCGCCTCCTGGCGAAGCGCGCGCCACCACCAGGCATCCACAGGCCCCCGTCGGGCGAGACCGTGGCGTTTGGACCCATATAAAAGCCGGGTGGTGTTGTCCTCTCTCTCTCTCTCTCTTTCTCCTCTTTCGCTCGCCTCCGATCAGGGACACGAACCCAGCGGCGCATCAAGGTAGGCGAGTCTTGTCGGAAGGGACCCCCCCTCCTTCCACACCTGGCGGGGGCCTCTCGGAGGGCAGGGGGGGGCCTCCCAGAAGCAGGGGGGGGCCTGCTGGAACGCCACCCCCCTCGCGGGCAGCTGCTGGGAGGAACCTGAGACCTCGGCAAGACGCCACGACTGGCAATCCGTGACCCGAGCCCGCGCCTCCCGAGGTCGTGTGTCGGGCCCAGGGGCATTCAGTGAGGCAGCCCCCGCCGCGAGGGCCAGGCGAGCTCTGAGGCGGAGCGCCCTGGTCGGTTTCGGGCGAATGGGCCATCTGCAAAGGGGGTTTCATACATGTTCGCACCAGTTCGTGCCATTGTTCGCGCGGAATACGCACGTCGTACAACATCAGCACGCGTGGCTGCGACGCGCCATGCGCCTCAGGATGAACTGCTGCACGGTTTCTGCGCGACCCCGTGACGAAAGACCCCATTTGCCCGGAATCAACCTGGAGGTTAGGGCGTTGGAGGTCGACAGGAGGAGGCGGAAGCGCCGCCCGCTGCCGCCCCTTTCCCCCCCCCTTTACCTCCCGAACAGCAGCAAGGAGGAGGAGGAGGCGGAGGAGGAGGAGAAGGAGTGATGGGTTCGATTAGCTATTGGAAGGTGCGCTCACACTCTATGTCAGCGAGGTGGCCTGCTGAATCCGAAGGCCTCTACCCCAGATGCCTCTGGACCTCTGAGGCGGATTCGGAGGAGGTCCCGTCTTGGGCCGTCTTGGGACCTTGCGGCCTTCGGGGGGGCCTCTTTGGCTCCTGCGAGGCCCTCTGCGGGTTGAGGTGGGACCGTCTTGAGCCGAAAAAGTTTGAAACCACGCCAACCATCAACAGAAGTCACGTCCTTTGCCGTCTTGGCTCAAGCTTTCGGCTCACGCTGGCTCAGGAGAAGTTGATGCGCTTGGCACTTGGGTCCCAACTTTGTGGCGTGAGCGCTATGGCCGCTGTGCTGGGCAAACTGGCCGCCGTTGCGCCACTCGTGCCCGCCCTCGCCCACGGAGGATGCGTGAAAGACACGGGCGGCAGTTGCAGTTTCTGGGGGTGCGATGCAACGAGGAATGCTTCCTGCGTGGACGGCAGGTGCATGTGCCAGGACGACCTATGCTCTTTCAGCGGAGCGTGCGTGCGACCCGCATCGGCAGCACCAACAGCACCAGTCTGCGAGAGGGACACAGGTGGTACTTGCCGTTGGTTAGGTTGCCATGAATCCAGGGGCCTTACTTTGTGTAGCACCGACTACAGGTGCGTTTGCCAGGATGGACTTTGTTCCACCACCACAGGGGCTTGCGCACCTGCAGCAGCAGCACCAACACCGACACCATTGGAATCAACCACAGAAGCACCAGTTTGCGAGAAGGACACAGGCAAGGATTGTCTTTTCTTCAGTTGCGACGCATCGTTGGGTTCGACGTCGTGCATCCACGGCAGGTGTTTCTGCCAGGGTGACCTTTGTTCCATGCACGGGTCTTGCCTACCAGCTCCAGCACCGGCATCGCCAGCACCAACGGCAGCAGCTTGCGAGAGGGACACAGGTGGTACTTGCCGTTGGTTAGGTTGCCATGAATCCAGGGGCCCTACTTTGTGTAGCATCGGCTACAGGTGCGTCTGCCAGGATGGGCTTTGTTCCACCACCAAAGGGACCTGCGTACCCGAAGAAGCACCAACGCCGACACCACGTCAGGGTGACCTTCGGTACATCAACGGGTCTTGCTCACCAGCTCCGGCACCGCCATCGCATGCACCAGAACCAGTATGTTGCGGCATCTTTATTCAGTCGATTCGTTCATTCCGCCAGCCCATACAGCATCATCGCCGGCAATTGCTTGCTTCTCGCTTGGGCATAGAAGGTGGTGGATGGCGGTCGTTTCCCTGAACCTCGCTTGGGGGAGAAACAGCTGCAGGGTAGTTGAAAGGCAAAAATCAGCGGAACACGCCCTCACCAAAGTTTCGTCTGCGGATGCCGCCCTCATGCCTGGATCGTGGGCTAGAGGCGCGTTGTATGCCTTTCGGGTTCTGTTGGGATGCCTCTCGGGGGTCTCTTGGAGGCATGGGGGGCATCCTGCGGGATTCCTGGGGCCTCTTGGCGGCCTCTGTAGGGGCCTCTTTAAGGCATCGTGGGGGTAAATTGGAGCATCTTGGGGGTCTCTTGGGCTTTCTCGGGAGGTTCTTGGAACCGTCTTAGGAAGTTTCTTGGGCTGTCATGGGGTCCTCGTGGACCGTCTTGGGCTGTCGGAAGCCCGGAGAAGCGAGATCGCTAATATTTTCAAAGACCTCAGAGGAGGCAATGTTTGTTGCATATTGGGTCCCTCTTGGGTCGTCTGTGGGGCATTTGGGGCCGTCTTGCTGCCATATTAGGCCGTCGTGGAACGCTCTTCGGCCGTCTCGGGGCCTTTGGACTTCCTTTGGGCTTTCCTGGAATTGTACCGGGGAGGTCCGGCATCTCTGACAGGACTCTCCGAGAACTTACTGGGACCTGCGCGGGGGACTTGCGCGGGTATTTTTTCTCCAGGGACCCCCCGGGGGCCGCCACGCGCGCGCGAACTAGCAACAGATGAATATTCTCGACCTCTTAGCAGAGATTCTAGCACGCCTTTGGCCCGTTGCGCTGGCGAATTTTTGGAGTTCTGGCCAGTTGCGCAGTGATACTACGGACGTGCTTTCGCAAACCAGTCTCAGCGCTTGACCTGAGGCTGGCAGAACCCCTCAACCCGCAGATTGCAGCTGGCACTTGAGCTAGATGGAGCTCAGGTCCTCTGGGCTGTCGGACTGGCGCCCTGGGGCATGGCGAACCGATACGCACCCGTTCCGGGACAACACCTGATCATCCTGCTGTGGTACGTACTTCCGTGCCGTGAACCGCCCTCTTGATTGATAGGTGCATCTTTGCAGGCGACGCCTCTTCCTCCTCCCCCCACAAAAAGCATATCCTGGCGAAGGACCCAACTATATGCAATTGTCAGTACCTGATGGCAGGTGGGACGAAGCATGGGCAAACTCATTATGAGGCCACGGCACGTGTCAGTTGCAATGCCGACATGAGCGGGGGGGAGCATGTGGACACCGCCGCGAGGCCTTTGGTAGAGCTCCCTCAATGGGTCGGGGGAGACGCACGTGATCACAGCCACTGGGGCCTTCGGTGGAGCGCCTAGGAGCGCTTGTGGGAGCGCCTGGAGAGCGCCTAGAAAGCGCCTGGGAATGCTTGGGAGCGCCTGGCTTGGGAGCGCCTGGGAGCGCTTGAGCGGGAGCGCCTGGGAGAACCTGGGAGCGCCTGGGAGCGACAGGGAAGCATTTGGGAGACCTGACAAGCGCCTGGAGCGTCTGGGAGCGCGCTGGGAACGCCTGGGAGCGCCGGCGAGCGCTTGGGAGCGCCTGGGAGGGCCGCCAGCACCTGGAGGCGGCGGGGAAGCGCTTGGGGGAGCGCCGTGGAACGCCTGGGCATGGGAGCGTTTGTGGGGGCGCGTGGTGGGCGCCTGGAGAGCGCTTAAGAACGCTTGGGAACGCTTGGGAACGCTTGGGAGCACCCGAGACCGCATAGGAGCGCCTGGGAGAACCTGGGGGCGCCTGGGAAGCGCCTGGGAGCGCTTGGAAGCGCCTGGGAGCGCCTGGGAGCGCTTGGGGGCGCCTGGAAGCGCCTGGGTGCGCTTGGGAACGCCTGGGAGCGCCAGAAACGCCTGGGAGCGTCGGGGAAGCGCTTGGGAACCGCCTGGGAGCGTTTGAAAGCGCTTGGGAGCGCCTGGGAAGCGCTGGAGCTTGGGAGCGTCAGGGAGCGCTTGGGACTGCTTGGGAGCCACTGGGGGCGCGAACGCAGGTGGTCACAGCCACTGGAGCTTTTGGTGGCGCTCCCTGTGGGGCCACGAAGCGCTATACTGGATGGCGCGGACGCATGTGGTCACAGCCACTGGGGCTTTCGGTGGAGCTCCCTATGGTGCCACGAAACGCTCGACTGGGTGGCGCAGACGCATGTGGTCACAGCCACTAGGGCCCCTATGGGACCATGAAACGCTGTATTGTCGTGCGCGGACGCATGTGGTCACTGCCACTGGGGCCTCACCGGTGAGCTCCCTTCGGGACCACGAAACGCTGTATTCTCGTGCGCGGACGCATGTAGTCACAGCCACTGGGCCCTTCGGTGGAGTCCCATTATGGGGCCACGTAACGCTGTATTCTCGTGCGCGGACGCGTGTGGTCACAGCCACTGACTGGGGCCTTCGGTGGAGCTCCCCTTGGGGCCACGACACGGTGTACTGGGTGACGCGGACGCATGTGGTCACAGTCATTGGGGCTTTCGGTGTAGCTCCCTACGTAACCACGAAACGTTGTATTGGGTGCGGAGGGCAGAAGCAGGGATGGGAGGATGGGGAGGATGGGCGAGGAGGAGAGGGAGGAGGAGGAACGCGGGGCGCTGTCTCTTCAAAACGAGACCCAATACCACAGGATGTTAAGAAAAAAACACCAGCTGAAGACACGCGGTGTTGATGCGATGTTAGCCCCCTCTGAAGGCCGTTTTAGGAGAGGAGCAGCAGCACGGGCAGCCGGAAGGGCGGGCGCTCCCTCCACTGGATGCGCTTGGGGAGTCTGGGGTGTTCTCAGGGATCCGACGCTTCCAAAAAAATATCCCGGCGAAGGACCCAACCATGTGCAATCGTGAATACCGCAAGGCAAGTGGTACGAAGGAGAGGATTTTTTAACGGAGCCACGAGACGTGTGAGGGGTATGCCGACATGGGCGGGGGGGGCGCATGTGGACACTGCCGCCAAGGCCTTCGGTGAAGCTCCCCGGGGGCAGGCCACACAACGCGCGACAGGTGTGCCGAAATGGGGGGGAAGCGGTAGAGCTTCCTATGGGGCCACGAGATGCTGTACTCGGTGGCGCGGACGCATGTGGTCACAGTCACTGGAGCCTTCGGTGGGGCTCCATATGGGGTCACGATACGCTGTACTGGATGGCGCGGACGCGTGCGGTCACAGCACCTGTGGGTGGCGCGGGCGTATGTACTCACAGCTACTGGAGCTTTCGGTGGAGCTCCTTATGGGGGCCACGAAACGCTCGACTGGGTGGCGCGGACGCATGTGGGCACAGCCACGGGAGCCTTCGGTGGAGCTCCCTGTGACGCCACGATACGCTGTACTGGGCGGCGCAGACGCATGTGGACTCAGGCACTGGGGCCTTTGGTGGAGCTCCCTGTGGGGCAAAAAAAACACGACACTGGGTTGGGCGAACGCATGTGGTCACAGCCACTGGGCCCTTCGGTGCAGCTCCCTATTGGGCCATGAAACGCAGCTCTGGGTGGCGCTGACAGCCACGAGGGCCTTCGGTGGGGCTCCCTATGGGGCCACGAAAGGCTGTACTGGGTGGCGCGGGCGCATGTGGTCACGGCCAGTGGGACCTTCGGTGGAGCTCCCTATGGGGCTACGAAACGTTGCACTGGATGGCGCGGACGCATGTGGTCACAGCCATTGGGGCCTTCGGTGAGGCTCCCCATGGGTCCACGAAAAGCTACACTGGGTGTCGCGGACGCATGTGGTCGCAGCCACGGGGGCCTTCCGTTGAGCTCCTTATGGGGCCACTAACCGCTGTACTAGGTGTCGCGGACGCGTGTGGTCACAACCACACAAACCTTCGGTGGAGTTTCTTTTGGAGCCACGAAACGCTGTGCTGGGTGGCGTGCACGCACGTGGTCACAACAACCGGGGCCTTCGGTGGAGCTCCCTGTGGGGCCACGAAACGTTGTACTGGGTGGTGCGGACGCATGTGGTCACACTAATTGGCGCCTTCGGTGGAACTCCATATGGGGCCACGATACGCTGTACTGGGTGGTGCGGGTGCCTGTGGTCACAGCCACTGGGGCCTTCGGTGGGGCTCCCTATGGGTCCACGAAACAGGTACTGGGTGGCGCGGGCGCATGTGGTCACAGCCATGGGGGCCTTCGGTGGGGCTCCCTCTGGGGCCACGAAACGCTGTACTGGGTGGCGCGGACGCATGTGGTCACAGCCACGGGGGCCTTCGGTGGAGCTCCCTATGGCGTCACCCTATGGCGTCACGACACGGTGTATTGGGTGGCGCATGTGGTCACAGCCATGGGGACCTCCGATGGAGTTCCCTATAGGGCCAGGAAACGCTGTACGCGGTTGCGCAGACGCATGCAGTCACAGCCATATGGGGCCTTCGGTGGAGTCCCTTGTGAGGCCACGAAACGTTGTACTGGGTGTCGCGGACGCCTGTGGTCACAGCAACGTTATGGGCCCACGAAGCGCTGTGTTGGCTGGCGCGGACGCATGTGATCACAGCCATTGGAGCGTTCGGTGGAGCTCCCTATGGGGCCACGATACGTTGTACTGCGTGGCGCGGACGCATGTGGTCACAGCCACTGGGGCCTTCGGTGGAGCTCCCTATGGGGTCACAAAGTGGTGTACTGGGTGGCGCGGACGCATGTGGTCACAGCCATTGGGCCCGTCGGTGGAGCTCCCTATGGGGCCACGAAGCTGTACTGGGTGGCGCGGACGCATGTGGTCACAGCCATTGGGCCGTTCGGTGGAGCTCCGATGGGGCCACGAAACGCTGTACATTGTGACGCGGACGCATGTGGTCACAGCAACTGGGCCCTTCGGTGCAACTCTCTATGGGGCCACGAAACGTTGTACTGGGCGGCGCAGACGCATGTGGTGGCTTTCAGTGGAGCCCCCTATGGGGTCACGAAACGCTGTACTGGGTGGCGCGGACGCCTGTGGTCACAGCCACTGGGGCCGTTCGTTGGGGATTCCCATGGGGCCACGAAACGCTGCACTGCGTGGCGTGGACGCATGTGGTCACAGCAACAGGGGCCTACGGTGGAGCTCCCTATGGCGCCACGAAGCGCTGTACTGGGTGACGTGGACGCATGTGGTCACAGCCGTTGAGGCTTCCGGTTGAGCTCCCCATGGGGCCACGAGACGCTGTATTGGGTGGCGCGGAGGCATGTGGTCACAGCCGTTGAGGCTTTCGGTGGAGCTCACTACGGGGCCAAGAAACGCTGCACTCTGTGGCGCGAACGCCTGTGGTCACATCTAGTGGGGCCATTCGGTGGAGCTCCCCATGGGGCCACGAAACGCTGGACTTGATGGGCTGAAATGGTGGACGCGCGCAGGGCAGAGGCAAGGGTGGGAGGAGGAGGGGAGGAGGAGAAGGAGGAGAAACGTGGGGCGCTGTCTCTTCAAAACGAGGACCCAACACCACAGGATAATTGGGAATTGGAGCGGCGGGGGTTTTTGGCCGTTTTTGGACTCGGAGGGCCCTCGACGGGCCTCGGGCAGTCAAAAAACAGCCCAGAACGCAAAGCCAGCCCCAGGGAAGTGGTCCAGACCTCCTGGGCCCACGCATCGAATATATTGGAGCGGCCGGATGTCTGGGTTGAAGCCTCTGAGAGGGGCTTGCCTCCACGTGGGGCAGAGCGAGCCGAGCAGGCGACCGCACTGAACACCAGCGCGGCATCGCCAGGGGCACGCACCAAGCTGACCAGACGCACAGCCTGCAGTCAAGCCGCCGAAGTGGGGAGCAGTTAGAATTCGGGAGGGGCTCGCGGCTCCTCGTGTCCCTCTGTGGTTGCTCCTCCAGCGCTCCTCGTGCAGCCACAGTCAATACGCCGAAAGAGGGAACAGTTTAGGTTCGAAAGGGGCTCGATGTTCCTTAGGTCTTTCCGTGGCTGCTCTTCTAGCCCTCCTCGCGCACCCAGGCGATGTTGGCGCTAAAGCGGGGCGTCGTTCCTTCTTTCGCGTTCCTCATGTCAGCAGCCTGACTGCAGGGGCTTTCGGGGTCACTATGGGGCGTCGCTCCTTGTTCAACGTTCCTCGTGGTAGTAGCTTGACTGTATGGTGGCTGTGGTGGGCGGCACCTCAGCCTCAAGACAGATCACGAAGCCCCCAAGACGGCCCAAGGGGTCTCCAAGATGCCCTCCTGGAGACCCCGAGGAGGCCAGAGTCATTGATCTTCCTCCGGTGTTTGAAAGGTTTTGAGGTTTTCAACTGTTCGTGCCAAGAAGCCTCGAAGAGGCCTTCCGTAGCCATTTTGGCTCAAGAGGCAGCCAGAAGCAGATCAAGAGGCCACGTTCGCGCCCAGGTGGGCAGGCGTCGCGAAATGTGTTCCTCGATGCTCTCCCACGCATGGCCGGCCCGTGCGAAGGGGAACCGCTCCTCGCCGTTCCGCCAGGGCTAGAGAGTGTGAGGGTTGGCGTGGAGAAGACCTTCATTCACGTTGACGAGGAGGGCACCCGCTCGTTCGACCACGTCAGGAAGAACGCGGAACGCACATTGGGTGAAGGCGACCACCATTGGCAGCTGTGCCACGAGGTGCTGAAACCCGAGGCTGACGGTGGCGGCGGCGGCGGCCTGCCCGCCAGCCTCTTGTTCTCCGCGCCGGCGCGCAGCCCGTTCGCTGCGACGTCTGCGGCCCAAACGCGCGTCGAAGGGCTGAAGGCCGAGAGGCGCAGGCACGCTGATGAGCTGATGGCGCTCTTCAGGATGTGCGGTCCGGAGATGACGGTGCCGGAGTTCCAGAGGCTCCAGGCAAAGGACGAGTTTGTGGAGCTCATGCGCAAGTACAACATTGAGGACAACGTCAAGGAAGTAGACGATTCTGTCGAGCCGTGGGCGTACAAGTTCCTCGGCGGCGGCGGCCAGGCGGGGGGCGCGGAGGCGCCGGGCAGGCCGCGCGGCGAGGACGACGGGGGCGTGGCGCTCGGCCGCTCGTTCTTCGAGCAGGTCATGGCTGCCGGGAGAGGGACGGACATGTTTGCAGGCGACGGGCGGTTGAAGACCGAGTCCCTGAAGGCCTGCTGCGCGATGGCCATGGTGCACAGGATGAGCTACCCCAGTGCGGGCGATTGCAAGGATGCTACAACGAAGCTGTGTGAGCCTTGCGGCTACTTCCACAAGAAGTGGTCTGTGATCGATGAGAGCAAAGGCGACCGCTGCTCCAAGGGGGTCGACTGCCCTTTCTGCCACGTGTGCTCCACGGCCGACCGGAACAGGTTCAAGAAAGCCAACCAGAAAGATAGATGGAAAGCCAAGCACGACACCAAGCAGACGCGCTGAGAGGCTTGGCCGACAACAGCAGCGTGGTTTTCGGTGACCCCTAGCAGCGCCCGCCCCGAAAAAGGAAAAAACAAAGCAAGAGAAGCATAAAAAAAGCTTCGAAGAGGCCTCCAAGATAGCTCCAAGACAGCCAAACAGGCCCCCAAGAGGGCCCGACGTCGCCCAAAGATCGCCCAAGGGCCGTGAACCACTCCAAGGGCCTCTTTGGGCGGACTTGATGGCATCTTGGACCCTCTTGGGCCGCCTTGGAGGCCATCTTGAACCATATTGGCCGAACTTGGAGGCCATCTTGGCCGTCTTGGAGGCTATCTTGAGCCGTCTTGGAGAGTTGTTTCCGGACGTTGTGTTCGTTTGCGCTCGTTTGCGCTCGATTGTGCGGCCTTCCGGGTAGCCGGCGGGACGGGCCGAAGCCCCAGGGGATCCGCCGCCCCCTGCTTGCAGGGGTGCACGGCGTGCTGGACGTTTCAGGTTTTGGTTTTGGTTCTTTTTCTAAAAGAACTCCCCAGTGGGCTTCGGCCCGTCCCGCCGGCCACCCGTAATTTTCCCAAAATCCGTCTGTCAATGCCTTTGTTGCCCCAACTTGGCCCAAGATGGCCTCCAAGACGGCCAAGATGGCCCAAGATGGCCTCCAAGATGCCTCCCAGACGGCCAAGATGGCCTCCAAGACGGGTAAGATGGCTCCAAGATGCCTCCAAGACGGCCCAAGATGCCCTCCAAGACGGCCAAGATGGCCCCAAGATGCCTCCAAGATGGCCCAAGAGGCCTCCAAGACGTTCTCCAGGAGAGCCCGAAGAGGCCAAAATCATTGGTTTTCCTTAGGTTTTTGAAGGTTTTTTGCGTTTTCTTCTTTTCGGCCTTCCGACGGCCCAAGAGGCCCCCAAGATCGCCCAAGAGGCCTCCAAGAAGGCCCTATGACGGCCCAAGGGCCCCCCAAGACGGCCCCAAGAGCGCCCCAAGACGGCCCAAGAGGCCTCCAAGACGCCCAACATGGCCTCCAAGACGGCCCTGAAGCGCCCCAAGAGGGCCCCAAGACGGCCCAGAGAGGCCCCCAAGACGGCTCCAGACGGCGTCAGACGGACCAGGAACGCCCTAAGACGGCCAAAGAGACCCCCAGGAAGCCCCCAAAGGCCCCCAAGAGGCCCAAGGAGGCCCCCAAGATGCCTCCAAGAGGCCTCGAAGAGGCCCCCAAGAAGCCCCCAACAGACCCCAAGGGTGCCCCAAGAGACTCCTAACAACCCTCATCCTCCTACTCTATTTCTTCCTCTTCCTCTTCCTGTTCATAATCATTCTCTCCCATGTGTTCCCCGAAAGCTTTCCAAACCGACTCGGGGAACTCATGGTCCGATAGCTTGGCCAAGCTCTAGTCCAACTTTCGGCCACATCGGCGTTTCCAAAAAGGCAGGGGGCGGCGGTGATTCGCCGTAGGCGTCTTCGATAGTTTTTGGGGAAAAAGAACCAAACCCAAAACAGAAAGGGTCCAGCACACCAGGCACCCCTGTGGCAAGCCAACAGGGGGCGGATCGAAGACGCCTACGGCGAATCACCGCCGCCCCCTGCCTTTTTGGAAGCGCCTATGTGCCCGAACGTTGAGGCCAGACCTGCCAGGCTATCGGACCATGTGTTCCCCGAATCGGTTTGGAAAGCCTTCGGGGAACACGTGGGCATCTTGAAGGTCATCTTGGCCATCTGGAGGCCATTTTGACCCTTTCGGGCCGTCTTGGAGGACGTCTTGGTGGGCTCTTGGGCCGTCTTGGAGGCCATCTTGAGCGTCTTGGAGCCCTCTTGGGCCGTCTTGGGGGCCTCGTGGGGCCGTGTCTTGGGCCTCTTGGGCGATCTTTGGGGGCACTTGGGCCGTCTCGGGCCGTCGGAAGGCAGAAAAAAAGCAAATGCCACAATCCTTCAAAACCCATGGGAAATGAATGATTCGGGCCTTTTCGGGCCTTCCTGGAGGTCCTCTCGGAGGCCTCTTGGGCCGTCTTGGGCCATCTTAGGGCCATGTTCGGCCGTCTTGGTGGGCTCCTGGTCCGTCTGACGCCGTCGGAAGCCGTTTGGGTGGCCTCCATGGGCCGACTTGGGGCCCTCTTGGAATGCTCCAGCGCCGTCTTGGAGGCCATCTTGGGCGTCTTAAAGGCCTCCTGGGCCGTCTTGGGGGCCTCTTGGGGCCGTCTTGGGGCCCGCTTGGGCCGTTATGGGGCCATCTTGGAGGCCTCCTGGGCGATCTTTCGGCGATCTTTGGGGGCTCTTGGGCCGTCTCGGGCCGTCGGAAGGCCGAAAAGAAGCAAATGTCAAAATCAACCTTAGGAAAATCAAGGTATTGGGCCTCTTCTGGCCTTCCTGGAGGCCCTCTTGGGGGCCTCTTGGGCCTTCTTGGGCCAGCTTCGAGCCAACTTCAGCCATCTTGGTGGGTTCCTGCAAGTCTGACGCCGTCGGGAGCCGTCATCGGGGCCTTTCTGGGCCGACTGGGGGCCCTCTTGGGGCGCTTCGGGGCCGTCTTGGAGGCCATCTTGGGCGTCTTGGAGGCCATCTTGGGCATGTTGGAGGCTTCTTGGGCCGTCTTGGGGCCGTCTTGGAGGCCACTTGGGCCGTCATGGGGCCCTCTGGGGGGGCTCTTGGGCGATCTTGGGGGCGTCTTGGGCCGTCTTGAGCCGTCGGAATGCCGAGAAGAAGCAGATTCCAAAATCTGTCCAAAACCTAAGGAATTTCAATGATTTTGGCCTCTTCGGGCCCTCCTGGAGGACCTCTTGGAGGCCTCTTGGGCCGTCTTGGAGGCCGAGGCCGTTTTGGACCATCTTGGGCGGACTTGGAGGCCATCTTGGGCCATCTTCGCGATTTTCTGATGACATCCCAAGCGAAACGGCCGTTCTTGGTATTGACTTGTGCAGTTTCCCGGTAGTCGGCGGGACGGGCCGAAGCCCCAGGGGGAGCTCTTTTGGAAAAAGAACCAAAACCAAAAGCCATATCGTCCGGCACGCCAGGCACCCTTTTGATAAATCAAAGGGGGCGATACACTTGCCTTCGGCCCATCCCGCCACCGTTCCTGGGCTGTGAGTTGGAGACCTCGTGGATGTTCGTTGGGATATCGTGAGAGGCGTCTCGGGGGTCTCTTGGAGGCAGTTCTGACCCTCCTTGGGCCTTGTGGGGGCCTCTTGGGACGTCTTTTTGACCCTCTTGGGGGCCTCGTGGGGCCTCTTGAGGGCTTCTTGGGCGCTTCTTGGGGCCTCTTGGAGGCCTCTTGGGGCCTCCTGGGAGCTTTTTGGGGCGGAAGGCTCGAATTGTCGGTTCGTGTTCCCCCACTTGGGCCCCTCTTGGGGCAGTTTTGGTATTATTTGGGGCCGTCTTGGACGCCTCTGGGGTTGTTTGGGGGCCCTCGTGGGCCGTCTTGGGACCCTCTTGGGGGCCTCTTAGGCCGTCTTGGGGCGGTCTCGGGAGCCCCTTGGGCCATCGTGGAGCGTCGGAACCCCGAAGACGCGAGAACGCGAAAAGCAATCAAAAAACAAAGAAAAAAAGTGATGTTTGTTAGCATCTTAGGGGCACTCTTGGAGGTCCTCTTGGAGCGCTCTTGGGGCTTCTGCGGGGCCTCCTGAGCCATCTTGGGCGTCTTGGGGCGCTCTTGCGCCGTCTTGGAGGCCTCTCGGACCCTCATGGGCGCTTCGTGGGGCTCTCTTGGCCGTTTTGGAGCCCTCGGGTGAGTAAAGCAAGAGCAGCGAGTGCGAATGCCCGCAGTCAAATTTGCAGAGCGGTGCCCTGCTAATGAGAGGAGAAACAGTGAACGCGCATATGCTCTGAGGCCAATTAGCAGAGCGGCGCCCTGCTAATCAGAGCCCGAGCAGGATGGGAAACCCTGCTTCGAGGCCAATTAGCAGAGCAGCGCTCTGCTAATGAAGGGAGGAGCAGCAAGTGCGTATGCTTTGAGGCAAGTTAGCAGAGCGCCGCTCTGCGAATTGGAGCCCGAACACTCCGATGATGTGGAGCCCCAGTCTTCAGAGTAGAATTCAGGGCTCAGGACAGAGAACACATGAGGGCCTGGGGAAAACTTCCCTCGCGCCTCGCGGCACGGTGGCGGAGATATATACACTTATGTGCATATGAATATACACATGCATACACACACATACATACAAACATACCTGCATACACACACACACATACAAACAAACAAACAAACAAAAACAAACAAGCAAACAAACATGCAGGCATATATTCAAACATGTACAACCAGACACGCATACACATACATAAACATATTTATGCACATACACATGAACATATACACATACTTCAGCACAAGCCTATACATACAGATAGCTATAGACATGTATGTATATAGGTGTGAGAGAGAGAGAGAGAGAGAGAGAGAGAGAGAGAGCGGTGCCGGGTGGCACGAAAGACCCACCCCCTGTCCCGGGGGGCTTTCGTACCAGCCGCACCGGGTGCGGCTGACAGCCCAGAAGCCTCCCTCTTCCCCTTCCCCAGGGGCTTTCGTATTGGGCGCACTGGGTGCCGCCGGCGACCCGTCCCCCTCCCCCTTTGGGAGTGGGGGGGGGCCGCGTGGGGGTGGGTCTCCCTGCGGGGGGGGGGGGGGAAGCGGGGGAGGAGGAAGAAAGAGGAGGAGGGGGAGAAGGCGGAGGAGGTACACACGAACCCCTTGGGCGTCGAGGCGCCGCAGGCGCGCAAAAGAGCGCTCCGGGCGCTCCCGCGCACACCTGGGGAGACCGCAGGAGAAGGAGGAGGGGGAGGAGGAGGAGGGGAGGAGAACGGGAGGGCGAACCCCCGCGCTCCTAGGCGCCGACGGCGTTCGCAAACGCTCCCCAGACGCTCCCGCTCCTTCGAAGGAGGCCGCAGGGGGAGATGGAGGAGGAGGAGCAGGAGGTGGAGGAGGAGGAGGAGGAGGAGGAGGAGGAGGATGTGGACGAGGAGAAGGAGGAGGTGAAGGAAAACGCGCTCCCCGCGAGGATCCCGGGGGCTTTCGTACCGGCCCGCACCAGCGGTGCGTGGAAGACCCCCCCGGGACTTCCGTGCATCCTGGGGGCTTTCGTACCGGCCGCACCGGCGGTGCGCCCAGCACAAAAGCCCCAGGACGAGCGATCCCGGGGGGGACTTTCGTTCCGCACCGGGCACCAGCCAAATACATATATATATATATATATATATATATATATATATTATGTGTGTGTGTCCGTTGCTCTTGCATGCTACATCGCATCGGGCCTCTTGTTACTGCGGCGATTTGGCGCGAAGTCGGACGACCTACCAGCATCGACGCAGCCCCTGGCAGCGACGAGCGTGGGCGCTGGCCTGGCCAGCAGCCAAGCCTGGCCCAGCGGCGGACTGGTCGTGGGACGCCTACCAACGGCACTTGGAGCACGGGAGGGACACTGGACGCGACCCTGGTCATGGCACGGGTACGGCTGACCCGTCCCGTCATCATTCTGAAGGCCCTGCCAGGGAGCCGTTATACAACAGGCACAGTAACCCGATCGAATGGGACGCGCAACGTGCCCAGTACCGTGGCGGAGTGCACCACAGCGAAAAGTGCTTGGAGACCCCGAGGGAGGTGGTCCGCCATCAGCATGGCGAGGCTGGAGCCATGTTCGTCGGTGGCTGGCACGCCTGGTGCGACGACCACGCCAGTCGCAAGGGCTGCCTGGCCATGCACAACCTACTCTGGCATTCTGAGTGCGACCACTGCTGCCAGAATTTCTTCAACTGCCTGGCCGACAACCAGCCGACATCGCAGGCCTCGCCTCCAGCTTCGGTCTGCGAGTCGACCGGGACGAGATCCGACGCCGCCACGTGCCCCAGACCCAGGGCACCCCAGGCGGCAAGTGGGCGGGCGGGAAGCGCTCGGCGGACGCCCGCATGGCGGAGGCCGAGCGCCAGCGAGCCCTTTTGGCGCCCCCCCATGCTGCTGGGCACTGGGCTGGTCGCCCACCCACCCCCGCCTCGCCTCGCCTCCGCACCTCCCTGCTCCTCCCTTCTCGGCCACACGCAGAGTGGGGTAGGGTTGGAAGCATTCTCTCCTCCTCCTCCTCCTCCTCCTCCTCCTCCTCCTCCTCCTCCTCCTCCTCCTCCTCCTCCTCCTCCTCCTCCTCCTCCACCTCCTCCTCCTCCTCCTCCTCCTCCTCCTCCTCCTCCTCCCTCCTCCTCCTCCCTGGCCAGGCCGTCGACGTGGCCCGCGAGCTGGGCGTGCAGGTCGTGGCGATGCCCCGGCTCCCTGGCACGCCCGGCGCCGGGGCGAGGGCGTATTTGGAGGCCGCCCCGCCCCGTCCGCCGTCTGGCCTCTCTCTTGCAGCGGCTCGTCGATGGGCGTTCGCGGAGCCTCCCGGCGGGCCCTCCGAGGGGCCTTCGGAGGGACTTCGACGGGCCTTCGGCGGCCTTGGGAGGACCCTCCGAAGCGCCTTCGGCGGGCCTGGCGGAGGCCGTGGGAGGGCCCCCAGAGAGCCCCAACGGAGACCTTCAGAGACCTCCTGCGGCGGTCCTCCCTCGGATCCAGGCGTCGCAAAAAGACGCGGCATGCTGGTATGTCTGGCAAGATTGTGGCGTGATGCCGAGATGTCTGCTATCCTTCGAGCTTGGTCCAGAGTGACTATGATGCAATACTTGGTTCTGCGTCTGCACCATTATCATCCTGACGACTCTGGATGCCGTCTCAACCTCTGCCGTCGTTCGCCGTCGCGATCATGATCGCGATCCCATCCGTATGGAGGCTCTCCTTTCTGGCTCAGGTCGTAGCTGCTTATATCCGTCACGTCGTAGGCATGTCTTAGCTCGGGTCGCTCCCACGGCCAGACCATGGCAATGCCCTGGATACGACCTGCAATGAGGATAGCCAACACAAAGGTGTAGATCACGCGGTTACTGTCGTCGTCTTTCTCTTCGGTCGGGGCTCCTTGCCCCATCTGCGCCATGGCCATGAGCATCGCCCCTATATGTATGCCCACCAAGCTGCTCGGCAGTAGGCTCCAAACCTGCATGGCAAGCCTCTGTGCCACCGACCGCAGTGATATGTACCCATCATATCCAGCGCCTCGATCCTCGTCCTCGCAAAGTGCTTGTTGCCCATGTCTCCAATATCCTGTCAGTCGAGGCCGTCCCCATCTTGAACTAATTATCGTGGTAGGCCCGCTGCGCCCGAGGTACCTAATCTCCAGGTGTTGTACCTTGCCCACGCCGATCCTCTGGAGCATGCCACGTCCCGCTGATGAGCTCGTGGCTACATCCAGCTCCGTTTCCTCCAGCACATCGCGCGCCATGTGTTTGATGGGTTGAAATCGGATTCTCCAGTCGAAAATTATAGGACATTCTGTGTGACGCTCAAACCTTCAATCCAGTGAGATCCATGCATGGGCATGCCGATGCTGGGAGACTTTCTCGTGCTCTTCTCGCCGCCCCAGTCGCCGACCGTACGGGTCACGATGGCATCGGGAGTTTTCTGGTGGACCTACTGGATGGGTACCTCAGGCTCGCCCTTGAGGTATCCGGTGATCTTCTTGAGCCGCATCATCGCGAGCTTGTGGATTGATGCGGTTGCTTGTCTGATCTCCCTGTAAGCGAACATAAGGTCAGGTCTATCCAAGGCCGCGAACTGCAGTATGCCCGCTCACGAATGGAGAACAGTCGCCGCGGCCATCGTCAGTGGTTCCTCCATGTCCCTCACATTGGTACCAGTGACCTTTGACCCCTGCGTAGCCGATACAGCGCAGCTCGTCAGCCCCAACATATCCAGGAGTTCGGCGGTGTCTGTTGACTGCTGGCTTGTATGCAAACCCGTCCTGGGTCCAGACCACCGTCCTGCCCAGGAGTTCCCCGCAGCGAACTCCAGCGGGGACGACGCGTCCCTCGATCATCACTTCGAACTTCGACAGCACCTGATCGAACTTGGCTAGCGCTGGCGTGTCCCCCTCTCCGTTGTGAAGTCATGCCCGTGGAAGAGTAGCGCTGAGTACAGGGCCATGTTGTAGCTTACACCGGATATCGTCCACAGCGACACCCAGCCACCGCCGCTTGTCGTGCCACACGCGAGCTTCTGCCATAGGCTGGTCCTAAGCAGCGTGTTTTGGATCGCCCTCAACAGGCGCAAGAGTGTTTTCGGCTTCGTCATTTTAGGGGGAGGTCGCACGTAGAGCTCCTTCAAGATCTCCGAGTGGAAGAGCGCCATTGACACGTCGAATGGTGCCAGACTCTGCGATCCTCCCTTCGATATCGCTCTCGATTGTATGTGCCTGAATGCAGCCAAGGGCGGTAACCCTGCGAACACGTCCCTCCTCTTCTAGCCCTTGACGACCTCCTGGGTCACCAGTCGTGACCTCACCAGGCCCTTTCGGTTCAGGTGGTCCAGCGAAATAGCGTTACGTACAGGAACTTTTCGATTGATTGTCGCTCCGCCGGTTCTGGCCCAGCCCGCGTCGGCGCGACACGTTACCCAAATCCTTGCCGCCCAGCGTCAACGTCCCGAGTTGTCCCGAGCCTCCCGCCCCGCGGAGCGGAGCGACACGCTCTCCCCATATTACGCCAGCGGCCTCCGATTCGTCCACCTCGGCGTAGCACTCCCAGCATCCTGTTTGCATCCGTGGTCTGGCCTCCGTGCACCAGGTCAGGGTCGAGAGGCTGTCCAGAGTACTGGTCGTGTCAGGCTCTGCCGTAGTCCGTGGGCCTGTCCCAGTCGACCCATGGAGCTCCACGGCCGGCAGCTCCGTCACGTTTTGGCATGAAGGAAGCGGGTCCTGAGGGAGACTGGTCCTGCACCCTGGAGACTTCCCTTGAGACCAATTCTTCATCCTGAGCCGTGCTCTGACAGTCTTGGTGCGCGTGGAGGGCCCCAGGAGCCCGAAAACGGAAAAGAAAACTCGGGACACGAATCTTCCATGGCGACATGTTACCCCTGGATCTTGCCCATCGGTTGCTGGTGTCGTCGTCCATCGCGCCCGCGTCGCGGTTGCCTCGCCTCTTGCCCTCGAGGTGGGGGTTGGTGCCACCACGCCCGCAGGGTGGCCCTGGAGCATGCGCACGCCGTCCTCCGTCACGACCTCGCTGCAGGCTGGGAAACCCTCCGTAGAGGAGTAGCGCAATCGTCATGTACGGTGGGGGCGTTCGTTAAGAAACGTGCCCAGGAGGCTTCAGACCCTGGAGGGTTCCTTATGTGATGAGGGCGGCGGTGATATCCATGGCCAAGCCTCAACTGGAGTTTATTGGCTTCCAGACCCTGGATTCCTTATCGAAGGTTTCCTTATCCAATGCCCCCACCGTACTTACTTCGTCCGCGGCGACCCGAGGTCAAGGCGCGGTCGAGACAGTCGAGGGACGCATCGGAGCCGAATTGGGCACAAGGGAAGATAGAAAGGACGCGGGGGGAGGAGGAAGCCGCGGGCGGCGGAGCAAGCTCAGACCGCGAAGATCTTGCACGTGTGTGCCAAGGCACAGGCTTACTCGGGCAGCGGACCGGGAGTGGCAGGGCAAGACGTGTGGCCGTGACAGGTGCGGCAAGTTCATGAGATGCCAGGCTGCGTAACTCGAAGGCGACCGCGTACGCAAGTCATGCGAAATCGTCCTGTACTGGCGCCTCGTCCGATTTTGGGGGGTCACTCACGATCCACCTGGGATGCCAGGGCACTCCGACGAGCACTACAATCACGCCTTCCGCGATGAACTTGTGTTGCTCGTCATTATTGCACGTGGATCTTCTTCGTCTCGATGGAGTGGACCTTCCCTGCTACGGACTCGTCCTACAGGTCGATCTTGCCCAGGAAAATCCCGTCGGCCTCCCACCTCTGGTGGAGTTTCAGTTGCGTCCTCATGGGTAGTTCGTCGCACGTGCTCTCGCCTAGCTCTGCCAGGTCGCCTGGCACGGCTAACCTCTCATACGCTTGTAGGCCACGGCCCCATGAGGTACAAGTGCGAACCTCGCAAGTAGCCAGGCCGCTTGCCGAACCACCAACTGTAGCAGTATGCTCTTCGTGCTGACGACCGCGCCTGCATTGTGCTCCGAAGCCGCTCCGCGTTGATGAAGCAATAGTCCAGCGAGGCCTTTGGTACCGTGGGTGGCTCGCCCAAGTTGTGCATCTTGTGCGGCCAGTCCCGCGCCCTGCCACCGACGCAGAACAGACGCCAGCTCATAAACGGAAGGTGCCTCACCTCGTGGTTGCGTTGTTTCTGGTTGTTTAGTTTGCAGGGCAGGTCTGTCGCGTAGACTACACGAGCTTTCTGTACTCATCTCGTTTGTCCTTCCGCTTCTCCGAGTGTTCGCATCTCCGTCGTCGGTCGCGCACGCCGTTCCGCTTGTAGATCGGCACTCGCGCGCCGCCCCTCTAAATGTACATGGCGTGTCCCTGGTTGTGGTCGGCAGCGGTTGAAACCATTTCCAGCCAGCCCGCCAACGCTAAGCCACGGCCGTCTGATGTTCACCACTCGAAACGTGACCGTCACGTTTCGTTGCTTACCGTGGATCCTCTCGGCGCTCTTGTCGGCAGCCTCTTCGCAAGCCGCACTGATGACCTCCCATCGCCGTCAGATAGCTCTGCTTCTCACGGTCGGACCTCATTGCATTTCACGTCGCGAACGTAGATGGACACGAGCGCGAGGTAGCTCCAGAGTCGAGTAGCAACTCTGTGACGTCTTCCTCGATAATGGTGATTTTCGCGCCCAGACCAGACGTCAGCATCATCATCATCATCGTCATCAACACCACCATCCTCATCATCATCATGATCAGCATGCCCATCATCATCAGCATCATCATCACCACCACCACCATCACCATCATCATCACCATCGTCATTATCAGCATCATCACCATCACCATCACCACCACCATCATCATCATAATCAGCATCACCTCCGTCATCATCATCATCATCAGCATCATCATCATCATCATCATCATCATCATCATTATCATCACCATCATCATCATCATCATCATCATCATCAGCAGCATCATCCAACCAGTGCCGTCGACAAGCTCCGGCGACGTGACTGACCTTGCCAAGGCCATGTCCTTGTCCACCGCCTCGGCTGGCGTCTCATCCAGCGCGTATAGCTCCCGTGCCTCGATGTCTGCCCGCTTGTTCCTGCAGTCTCGTGCGAAGTGACCACTCCTCCTCTTGCAGCAATGGCAGTTGCGCTTCCATCGCGCGCTGCTGTAGACACGCGTGAACTTCAAGCCCTTCATGCCCACTTGACCGTTCGAGCCTCCAGGCTGTCCTCTATTTGGCCCGACTCTCTCTCTCTCTCTCAGCTGCGCATTCCAGCACTCCTCTGCCGCGCGTCCTGGCCCGCTGCACATCGTGCACTTCCCGTTCGACTTGTCGGCCTTGCCGCCCCTGTCTCGCCGGGGTGGCCAGGCGCACCCACGTCCACGGGCATAGGTCTTCCCTGGGTCATTTTCGACATCGCCATCGATCGGACTGCATCACTGCCCTCTCGTGCGCGTCGATCTGCGTCGCACTGAGTGGCAGGTTCTCCTTCGGGTCTCCCTCAGGAGCATGCTGGGCCAACGCCCCACTCTTGATCGCGTCGCTTTTCTTATCCCTGCACTGCGTATCGTTATCTCAAATATTCGTCGCTCAAACAGCTAGGCTGACTGTTGTATCGGTTCTGTCACGCCAGTGTAGCTACATGTTCGACTGCAGCATGCCTCTGAGCCTGGCTGGTGCTATTTGCTCCCATCGTCTCACTAACCTGCTCCATGTCTCGAAGACGTTCCCGCGAAATGCATTCTTGACAAGAGTCAGCGCCTCGATGTCCGTACAGAGAGACAGGATCAGGTACACCTCCGAGCTTAGCTTCACTTCTGCGGTCGCTATGTCCATACGGGATATCTTCTCATTTTCCTTCGTCAGGGCCGCGGCCGCTAGCATGAACTCCCCAGCCGTGGTGATAGCGCTCTGCATTAGGTCTGCGTTCGAAAGCTCCATGTCGTGATCCGTTCCTCGCCTTCCTCGCCAGTGTAAGTGTTCGGTTTCGTGGGCACGATCGCGTCGATGATCGCTGACTCCTGGCGCGGAGGCTGCGGTGGTAGTGGTGCCTGCTGGCGTAGCTGTTCACGATGCTCTGCCTGTTGTAGATGCTGCTGTAGCCGATCCACTGCCTGCTTCCTCTCTTAACTATGCTACCAGATCGCCACTGGAACTGCCTGTAGATGTCGCATCGCTTGCTGTAGGTATTCCATGCCTGCGCGTCGTCACGCGCTGCATGCTGCCCTCGCCAGTGGATCTCAAAACAAGCTCCACGACGCCATGCTGGCATGTCTGGTAATGTTCTTGCGCGATGGTAAGAAGTTTCTTTTCTGTCCAGCTTGAGCACAGTGGCCATGGAGCGGCCATCCACAACATTGATTATGTCACGCATACTACATGCATCATGACAACAGTTTTTCGCCAGATCGCCAGATGACGCGGCCCTGGTACCGCCAGATGACGACTCGGGATAGAAGACCGACCCCGGCGAAAGGGCCGGAGCCCCAGGGGCCGACGTCACGAAAAAAATAGCAACAGCGCGGGGGAGGCAAGGTATCGTCGACGATGCTGACGCCGACGGCTTCAAAATCTCAGAATTTGGGGAGGCCTCCTGGGGCTCGCCCGTCGCCACGGCTGGGACTCTCCACGAGATCCTGATCAGAACGCGCCGCTGGACGTCTTGGAGGTCGACCTCTGGCTGGGAGGCCGCCCTGAAGCTGTTGCGTGCGCACCTGGGGACGCTCGCCACCACGGCGCGGCCCCGGTGCTCCATGGACTCGTGGTCAGAACGCACACCGACGGCGGCCTGGACATCGGCGGCCTCCCAACCCGTGGCCCTCTGCCGGGATGACCTTCGGCGCACGGCTTTCGGGGGGCGCGGGCCGTGCGGTTCCAAAAGGGACCCCGGGGGAAGGGACTCTTGAGACGGGCGGTGCCGATTTCTCAAGTCCGCTCGGCTTCGCCCACAAGGACGCCGCGTGACGCGTTCACTCGCACTCTCCGGAGTCTCAAATGCAACGCCGCGGTCTCAGAAGTCCCTCTCGCTGGCGTCCCTTTTGGGAAACGTATCAGGAGGAGGAGGAGGAGGAGGAGGAGGAGGAGGAGAAGGAGGAGGAGGAGGAGGAGGAGGGGGAGGAGGACAAGCTAGGTGCGCTCGCGTCATATCTGACATCCTACCCCTCCCTCCCATCCCTTGCCATGGCGCAGATCCCCTCTCTACTCGCTCAGTCGGATGTCGAGCAGGGCAATGATCCCGAAAGGGTACGCGATGCATTCTAGAGCACGGTATGGCATGGCGTAGAAGAGCACCGCAAAGCGTAGTATCAACCTAGCATTGCATTGCATGCCGTGGCATAGCACGGGAAATGACGCCAGCGCTGCAGCGGGAGCACGAGTCGAAACGAGCGGAAGCGCGGAAATGAGGCCAGCGCTGCAGCGGGAGCACGATTCGGAACGAGCGGAAGCACGGAAATGAGGCCAGCGCTACAGCGAGAGCAGCATTTTGAAAAAAATGCAAGCGAAAACCCAAATCCGGGGAAATTTGTGTGTAAAAAAACAGTACGCGGGGGGGTTCGGCCACTTTCAAATTGTCATCAGGGGAAGAGGGAGAGTAGTATTCAGATTGAGTCATTGTGGAGGAGGAGGAGGAGGAGGAGGAGGAGGAGGAGAAGAGGAGGGAGGAGGAGGAGGGGAAGAGGAGGAGGAGGAGGAGGCGGAGGAGGCAGAGGAGGAGGAGGAGGAGGAGGAGGAGGAGGAGGAGGAGGAGGAGGAGGAGGAGGAGGAGGAGGAGGAGGGGGGGGGGGCGGGGCGGGGGAGTGGGCCAGGCCCAAGCACGCCGGCCGCTAGCGTCGCACTACACGCCATAATTGGCAGGCCGCGCACCAAAGGTCCCTCTTGCCTCGGGTCTCGCTTGCGCGTAGCCGACATGCGGGGTCTCGAAAGAATGCCACGGCGGGCAGCACCGCGCCAAGAAGGGCGTCGGAAGCCCACGAGGACAGGGGCATACCGAAGAAGCCTGCCAAATCCTCCCCTCCTCCTCCTCCTCCTCCTTCCCTCCTCCTCCTTCCTCCTCCTCCTCCTCCTCCTCCTCCTCACTCCTCCTCCTCCTCTCCTCCTCTCCTCCTCCCTCCTCCTCCTCCTCCTCCCCTCCTCCTCCTCCTCCTCCTCCTCCTCTCCTCCTCCTCCTCCTCCTCCTCCTCCTCCCCCCCCACGACGACGACGACGACGACGACGACGACGACGACGACGACGACGGCGTCGTCCAGACGCCTCCGGAGGCCTGAGAAGGCCCAAAAATATCCAAAAGCTTCGATCCTCGATTCCCAGCGGCGCCGACGGCGGCGACGACGATTGCGGTGACGGCGACGGAGGCGGCGACGGAGGCGGCGACGGCGGCGCCGACGGCGGCGACGGCGACAGCGGCGGCCGCGGCGGCGGCTGCGGCGCCGGCTGCCACTTGCGGCGACGGCGGCGGCACCAGCGACGGCGGCGACGAAAGCGGGCGGCGGCTAGCGGCGATCCCCCTTGCGCCGCGGCCGAGGTCCTCGCGGGCACGGACGCCGCCAAACAGGACGCGTATGCCAGCCCGTCGTCGTTATCGGCGTCGTGTTCGCCGTCGTCAGCTTCGGCGGCGTCGAGGTCGCGGTCGTCGTTGTCGGCCTCGGCATCGGCATCATTGCAGTCGTCGTCGCGGGCGTCGCAGAAGGAAGAGCGAGACCCGTCGGGCCTGCCAACTCCTTTGGCTCCTTCTCGACGTTCTCTTCCTCGCCACCCGCCTCCTGAAAATCATCCTGACTATCATCCTCTTTCTCCTCCTCCTCCTCATCCTCCTCCTGTTCCTCCTCCTCCTCCTCAACCGCCCTTCTGCCCAGCCCAATCTCTCACTTTGCCCCCACCTCCCAAGGAGGCCACGCAGCACCTGTGGACCCTGCAGCGGGCCTCCGCGATCGCGGTCAAACTTCATCCCGCGGTGCCCCTCTTCCGCCTCCCACTGCTGCGAGGTCGTTGTGACCTCTCCTCCGACTCCTCATCCCTGCCCCTCCCTCCTTGTCTTTCTCCTTCTTCCCCATCCCGCCACTATTGTTGCTGCGACTGCGAAGATTATTGTTACTGCTACTACCACCACACCACCACCACCACCATCACCACCATTACTACTACTACTACTACGACGACGACGACGACGACTACGATCACTACTACGACTAGGACGACGACTAGTAGTAGTAGTAGTAGTAGTAGTAGTAGTAGTAGTAGTAGTAGTAGTAGTAGTAGTAGTAGTAGTAGTAG